TGTTAATGTACTGGAGTGTCCAGTCAGTCAGTGTGTCTGTATGAACCCCTCTCTCTCAGTGCAGTGTTAATGTACTGGAGTGTGCAGTCAGTCAGGGTGTATTTAACTCCCTGTTTCTCTCTCAGTGTGTGCAGTGCCAGTTGAAGCAGGCAGTGGGGATGTCTGGCAGTAAGGCTCTGGGCGGTGCCCGGCGGCGCAGGACGCGGTGCCGGCGATGCCAGGCCTGCATGCGGACAGAGTGCGGAGAGTGCCACTTCTGTAAGGACATGAAGAAATTTGGTGGGCCGGGGCGCATGAAGCAGTCCTGCCTGCTCCGACAGTGTACTGCAGTAAGTACAAGAAATTTCCTAACCGACCCGCTGTCTCTCCTGAACACCCAGTCAATCCGCTGTCCCTCCCGGATGTGGTGCCTGACCGGCTTTGTATTCTGTATGCCGTGCCTGTGCGACCTGTGCGACCCGTGTCTTTCCTGTACGTGGTGCCCAGCCGACCTTCTGTCTATCCCTTCCCTCTGCTTAACCAAACCGTTGTCTCTCCCTGATACTATACCCAACTGATCTGCTGTTTCCCCTAGACATGCTACCTAAGGGACCTGCTGTCTCTCCCAGACCTGGTGCCCGAATAACTCGCTGTATCTCCTCTACACCCTGACTGCTTGATTGATCCACTGTCTCTCCCCTAACCTGCCTGACCGATCTGCTGTCTCTCCCGGACACCCTTCCTGACTGACCCGCTGTCTGTTCCCTATACCCTTCCTGACTGACCCTCTGTCTCTCCTTAACATTGTGCCTGATGACCTGCTGTCTCTCCCGGATGCTGTGCCTGATGACCCACTGTCTCTGCCCTACACCCTGCCTGATCAATAAGCTATCTCTCCTCTACACACCGCCTGTCCAAAGCTGTGTCTTCCCCTGATGTCGTACCCTACCGATCAACTTTCTCTCCCCCACACCATGCCTGATCAACCCGCTGTCTCTCCCCGGTGCTGTAGCTTACCGACCTGCTGTCTCTCCCGGATACGTTGCCTGACGAACCCACTGTCTGCCTCTGCCCTGCACCCTCTCACCTGTGTTGTGTCCCCTCAGCCAGTGCTACCCCACACAGCCGTGTGCCTGTCCTGCGGTGAGGCTGGGAAGGAGGACACGGTGGACTCGGAGGAGGAGAAGTTCAGCCTGTCCTTGATGGAGTGTACCATCTGCAACGAGATCATCCACCCAGGCTGCCTCAAGGTGGGTGCCCCTGCGCGCACACATGCACCCCTCTGCCTTGTGTCCCTCGCGCCTGCCCCTGGCAGAGAAGGTGAGCAAGCGCAGGTAGAGATCGGTCACAGCATGGAGCCAGCTCCGGTAGTGAAGGGTGGTATTGATTAGTCACAGCCGTGAGCCAGCGCCGGTAGTGAAGGGTCACAGCCGTGAGCCAGCGCCGGTAGTGAAGGGTCACAGCCGTGAGCCAGCGCCGGTAGTG